CCAACTCTACATTCTAATTCTATTGTATATTCTATTGTATTCTATTCTATTTCTACTCTACATTCTAATTCTATTCTATTCCATTCCAACTCTACATTCTAATTCTATTGTATATTCTATTGTATTCTATTCTATTTCTACTCTACATTCTAATTCTATTCTATTCCATTCCAACTCTACATTCTAATTCTATTGTATATTCTATTGTATTCTATTCTATTTCTACTCTACATTCTAATTCTATTCTATTCCATTCCAACTCTACTTTATATTCTAATTCTATTCTATTCTATTCTATTTCTACTCTACTTTCTTATTCCATTCCATTCCTACAATACTCTGTATTGTAATTCTCTTCTATATTCTATTCTATTTCTACTCTACTCTACATTCTAATTCTATTCTATATTCTATTCTATTCTATTTCTACTCTACTTTCTAATTCTATTCTATTCCATTCCTACTCTACATTCTAATTCTATTCTATATTCTATTCTATTCTATTCTATTCTATTTCTACTGTACTCTACATTCTAATTCTATTCTATTCCATTCCATCCCATCCTATTCTATGCTATGCCATTCCATTCCTACTCTACTCTATATTGTAATTCTATTCTATTTTCTTGTTCTGTTCTACTCTACTCTACATTTTAATCCTATTCTCTAATTCTATTCCGTTCCATTATATTATATTCTATTATTATTTTTTAGGTGTGGAGAATAAAAGTTACTGTTTTTTGGGGGGGAAATGTCAGGTGCATGGCTGGCTGGGGAATTATGGGAGTTGAAGTTCCTAAGTCTTAAAATTGCCAAGGTTGGAAGACTCCTGTTAAGAGTCGGATCTCCTGCTCAAGCAGGAGGCTGGACTAGAAGCCCTCTGAGGTCCCTTCCCACTCCGTTACCCTGGGAATTTTTCACCCCTTAAATTCTGCTTTGCAGTCTTTTACACTACATTACCCAGCGGAAGCAACACCGAGACCGATGGGTCGGAGCACTGCAATCCACCTCCGTTCCCTGTGAGTAGGACCGGCTCCTCGGACCTGTGACGGGCTTCGTAAGAACGGGGGAGAAACGTAGGACATTTGTTTTCATTTGGGTCTTAGCGCCAACGTGTCGCCCTTCCTCTCTTCCAGTGCATCTGATTTATGGACCACTGGATCCGGTCAACCCTCATCCGGAATTTCTCCCGCTTTATAAGTAAGCTGGGGGGGGGGGGGGGGCAGAAGGTCTCGCCGTCACATTTCAAGGACTCACAAAACATAAATGGTACTCTCCCCTTTTCTTGATCTGAAGAGAAACTCCATTCTTTCACGTCGGTGTAGGGACGTGAGGGCAAACTTAGGTGGCACGCAAGCCGTCGTCAAGCTCAGCTGCACCGCACATGCGCACGCGCCTCCCATCATCCAGATGATTTTCTGTGCCGCCCATGCGGGAGACGTGTGTGCATGCACGGTGGGAAGTCACGCCTGCATGCGTGGGGAGTGGCGCCCCTTCGGCCTGTTTTTGGCTCCAGGAGGCTGCAGGGAGGTCTGCTAGGGCACAGGCGGGAGTGGGGGTGCCGTGCGAATGGCATTATGGGTGTGGGGACGCCCGTCCGCAGTGTCATGCACATGCGCGCTGTCAGACACGCGGGTGCTTTCAGCAAGCGAGGACAAGAAAGTTAGCCATCCCTAGTATAGAGTCTCCTGCTTGAGCCAGGGGCTGGACTAGAAGCCCTCCAGGGGTCCTTCCAATGGTATTACCTTACGTT